TATATATGTACATGTATTAAATAGAACAAATATATTCACATAATAATGTAGATTTATACTTGTTATGTAAACATTTCCGTTAAAAGCTCTGTACAAACCAATTTGTTTTTGTACTTCTTCCCTTTTAAAATTGGCTACAAATATAGATACTTGCTGGATTATAGATAGTAAGTACTTTTTTATTAAATCACGTTTGATAAGAGTACAAAAAAAATTTGAGCAGAAATTTAGTAATACGTGAACATAATCATTGCAGTCATAGTAATAAAATAAGATTATTATTACTGAAAATTGTTCTAAATGCGTGACCAGTTCCCTTTTAGAAATTTAAATTTTCCTTCTCGTCCTTTAGCTGTACGAAGGAAAGGAATCAATAAATTTAATTTCACTTCATGAGGAATTTCTCTTTTAATACTTAGGACGATGAGTACTAAAAATATTCCAACATAAAAATTTAAAATCTTGAAATACCAGACATGCTTAATCTATTGAGAAGATACGATTACTTGCATTTGGCCAAATAAAATAAAGCGAAATATTTTTATAAAAAAAAATAGATGTAAATAGCAACTTACAAGATTTTTAAATGCATGCATAAGTAGTCAAATAAATTGTTCAAGTTCAATAATAATTAATCGAGGTCAAAAATAAAGGTCTTAATCGACAATTTTTCAAAAAATCGGGTTTTTTACCAATAGTTTTCAGCCTTATGCTTCTTTCATAAAATGGTATATGGAACAAGTAAAACCTTGATTGTGTAAAGCTTTCATGTAAATCAAAATAATTTACAATACTTTAACCCTTTCGTTTACCTCAAATAACGGACAAGAGAAAACATTACTTGATTTCAAAAAATTCCAAATTAAAATAAAAGTTCAAATAAAAATTTTTTGTTTAACAAAATGATCCTAGAAGGAAAACTCAACTCAAATTTAATAAATACCAATTTGATTTTAATTTACATAATGTATGTACGTATATTCTCCAATTCTCTACAAATTTTAATTGTCTTCAATCGGAAGAACCGAAATAAATTTTTAACATACAAAATTTACATAACAGATAATAAAATAATATTTTCAAATAATTCAATTCAAGGCAAAATAAAAGGATTTTCCTCAATTAAATTGAAATGGGTAGCACACATGCATAACATAAAGTTATTCATATGTGACTAATTAAAATATATATAGGTAAGCGTTTTAAGTAAATAACACAAATTTAGATATATGTATAAATGTTTGTACATACACAACATACATGTATATAGAAAAAAGTTTTATTGACCTCGAATTTATTTTATTTTATTATTTAGTAACTAGACACACACATGTGTAGAAATACAAAAAATTCACCCAAAATATGGAATATATGTATGTATGTATGTATGTATATATGCACGAGTTCATAATAAAGTATAATAGTTTTTATTGAATGGAAATTTTAAAGTTTTCATCATTAAATTTTATAAAATTCTTTTATTTGTGGTATGCGTAAGGCGGCAAGTCATAAATTTGTAGTGTGACTGTGAATATACATACGAACATAGATTTGAAAACAAAATATAATTATTACAATCTCAGATGAATATATAATACTAATATAAAAAATTAATTTTTTGTAAAAAGCAAATGTTATTAATAATTTTCCTTATTTTGCACTCTTTTAAAAAATGTGCTTTTTAATTTCACACCGTGAGACCATCAGTCAAGCTTTTGCTTTTGCATATCCTATTTCCTGGCCTACAGAATAGAAAACTGTAATTTCATACGAATACTGTCGAAAATCTCATTTTTCTAGAACAAGATTTTTTTTTGCTTATATCCCCTCTTGCCTTTCAGTTTTTTATTATTCTTCAAACTTTTAAAAATGTCATTTTTTGACAGCTTATTGTTCCGAAACAACAAACATCTTTTACTCTCACTTTTGAACAATTTGAGTTCGTCTTTACTTGTCATTGTCATGGCTTATCCAGAAGGTATGCAACAAAAAAATGTGTTAAAAGATTAATTTAAACAAAAACAAAAACCGAAACCACTACATTTCACAAATTTCAATTATTAAAACGAAATGTGCTTCTATAAAAACCATTGGTTTACTACAAATTCATTTATTATATTATGGCACTATTATTTAAGTCACACATCAACACGTGATTTGAATATTAATTTTTTTAATATTTTAATGTTTGCGAAAATTTTATTTTGCTTATATTCTGTGAAGTTTTCGGTTTTTGATCTTTTTTATATACAACGAATTTATAGTGAAATTAATTTCTTTTTCAAAAATTCTTAAAAATTATATAAATGGTTTCCTTAAACCAACCAAAAGTTTTGTAAAAGAAAAATTCGTTTCTTCTTTTAGTTTACGTAAAAGAAATTTATTCCCGAGAGTAAAATGTTAAAAAAAATAGTATGTTTTTTGAATTTTAATATTTAACATTTTTAATTAGTAATTTAAATGAAAAATATTTCAAATATTACTTGAATGCAATAAATATAGACTATGTTCATTTTGTGTATAATAAAGAAATTTAATTAATGTACATTGAACAGTCCTTGGATCAATTTCTATTCTAAATAATTGTGCTTTTGAGGTCACTAACGATTATCCTTTTAAATTATAAATATTCAAAGTCATATTCAAGGTATAAAAGGATTGTAAATAATTTTATTAACTTTTTGAAATAAAAGCATATGCTGAGGCTCTAATTTTTCATCTATAACTCTTAAATTGCTTGGCATTGAATTTCTGTTTTATATTTTATTTAAAATAAATAATTAATAAAAAACAAATGCGTTATAATTTTATGCGAATGTACATTTATGGTTCTACACAATTGAAAATTTTGTTTAGGTTTTTTAGTATCTCATAAATTCTAAAAAAATATTTAATTAATTTATAAAATTCAATGGCAGAGCAATAATTTTCTTCAAATACTTGAAGATAAAAATACTTTTAAGATTATTTTGCTTCAAAATTCAAAATGAATAAATTTGAGTAATTATTTATTATTTGATTCTAGTAATTGTAACAAAATTTTAGAAATTTTTTTTGCTTTTCGATTTTTGATCATAAAGAATCTTTACGCTTCTTACATTTCATTTAAAATTTTCTGGTACACGATATAAGTTTTTGTTAAAAGGTTTTCTAATTTATATTAATTTGAAAAATTCAATTTCTTATGACAATTGTAAAATTGACGACATTTCTTCCTCAATTATTTGCTATAACATCGTATTTTTTAATATTAAACACTATGTAAGCGTGATTCACAATGTTACAACAAGTTTCAATAATTATAAACTAAATTTATACAAACAATTGAACAATGATTTATTGAGAAACCCTTACACCCTTATTAGAATCAAGGAGATGGATATATCACTTGTACTACTAAAATTACGAGAAAGTAGGGAAAGTATATTCTGAAATTCGTAATTTATTGAGTTATTATTATGAATCGCACTTGCAGTGTGAATAATTGTCAAAATTTTGCTAATGAAATTTTCAAACAAAACATAAATATCATGTATTTTAGAATGGTTAGCTTTTAAAGACAACTGTTATAAAATCAGTAAGTTTGTCCAAATTAAGATTTTTCAAGTGAAATTCACAATAATCCGCTTTATCCCTGTGTAATTCACAAATTCCAAAAATAAATCATAATTTATTTAATATTTATTATACACAATTTAATAAAATTTATTGTTAAAATTTGTTACATAAAACAAAAGAAATAAAAATATTCAATAAATTTTAATATTTTATTTTTGTTCATTTACTTGTTCTTTTCTTAAAATTTAATATGTTCAATATTGTCATTATTATACTGTTTGATATAAAAACAATTGTCAATTTTCTTTATAAAGTGTTACCGAATATTTATAAATAACGTACGTCATTCCAAAAATGTAATTTTACAAAACATTAAATTGGCTTTTTTGTATTTTTATATATTTGTGTTTTTACTACAATGCTCTTAAATCTTGGAAATTTTTTATTAGAGATGTGAAAAAAATAATATTTATATACAAAGAAAATTTTAAAATTATGTACACAAACACATAATAAGTTCATAAATATTATTTGAATAAAAAATTGTATGTTCATGTTACGTAATTTATTAAAAATTTAAATTATTTTAACATAAATTGAGAATATGGAAAAGTAGATGAATTGAATACATATAAGGATTCTAAGGTTTTAAGTAAATTTTAAGAAATTATATAAATAGACTTATGTATATACAATGTATGATGTAATATCTTCTAATATACAATATTATGCAGCGTAAAAGCAAAGTAATGGTACCAAAATGAAAATTTTGAAAAAATTTTTTTGTTATTCATGTACATAACTTGATTAGGTTTGAGACATTTGTAATTTTAAATTTAATACAGTCGGAGCTCCATGCCTGGTACCATTCATTTTACTAGAGAAATTCACTTTTCATTTCATAGAAAAAACGATTCAATATAGTCATAATTTATGGAAACTTTATATTTATGGAGGTTTTGTGGCAAGAGGTTAAAAATACACCAAAATTCTGTCCATATTTCAAAATGCAACAAGGAGAATTACAAGACTGCATAAGTAAGTTTTCATCCTATACAAGGCAGCCATTCTACTACATTATGTATTGCGTCCTTACGTTATTGATTGTGAATTGTTATCAAAGTTAAAAAAATTTAATTTATGAATTTATTAATTTTCACACCTAATTGGTTCCACCATATAAGCAATTGCAATGTACATTTTATACAAGTATTTTATTTCTTTTATACATTACAATATAATACACATACATATGTATATTTAATTATTCCAAAAATTTTGCAATACAAGAATAATAAGTAACGTCTACTAATACGCTTAAACTTTTACATATAAGGATATTTTTACATATGTACGCAAAAAATTTACATTCGATTTTAATGCCATCTGATGTTTTTTACAATAATTGGAATTTTTTAATTGAATTTCATTGAATGTTCAATTTATCTTTGTCCAGTTGTTGTTTCTGTGAAATTAAAATTAAAGTTATATATCATTTACATATTTATAAAATTTAAAATTTCGTTCTCAGAATTAACTTGTCAGAATTTAATTTTGTATTACAATTTTAACTATGTGAATTAATTTTTTGCAATTTTAACTATAAAAAATAATATTGCGCTTATGAATTTATAGTATGTATGTGCAGTTGAATATAATTTATTAAATTATGAACATTTAATTTCTGAATTCACAAGAATGTTAGTTCAAAAATTAACTTCGATATCTTAAAGAACAATTTTAAATTTTGAAATATCAAAAAGTATTAATAGGAATTTTCAGGACACTTACATAAATTCGAATCTGATTCTAAATTAAAGTGTTCGAGTAAAAATTTAAGAGGTTAATCAATATTTTAAAATTAAATTGTCATGTTAACATTCCTGTTAAGTTAAACCATATCAAGTATACCAAAATTTCAATTTTTAATAAAATTACCTACACACATATTTACAAGGAAAAAATCGATCCTACTGTACCAAAAAAAAACCATTCAATATTTTAATGAAAATTTTTAAATTCATTCAAATTTATTCCAAAAAATTTTCAGAAATTTTCGTATGTACCAGTTTTTTAAGCAAAACAATTTTCTTTAATGAAAATATTTTGTTAACATTGAAGTAGGAACTGCTCTTTCTTTTTTGTTCTTATTTTCTTTTTTATTTTCATATACCGCCATAATCAAATTTTACTCGCTCCTTTATTTTATGTTTTAACTTTTGTGTATGTTTTTCAAAATTCTTAACACAAAAAAATAACACAAAGTTTAAATAAAAAAATAATAATAATAACAAAACAAAATTTAACAGCTTTTCTCGCTTAATAATCTTTTAATATTTAAAAAGAACCAAAACAAAAAAAAAAGAGTATAAATTTACAATATTTAAAAAGAAGCTAAGGGCAATTTTCTCATTTTAAATAATTATAATTGAAAATTATTAAGAGAACTTCTTAAAAAAAAATTTAAATAGATCATTACATTTCTCGCACCTAATCTCGTACGTTCTTGGAAAATTCTAATAAAAAATTATATTTTAGATATGTATGTGTGTGTTTGTGTAGAAATTAACAGTTAATATTTGAAATTCTCTTCATGAGAATTAAATTTTACCATTTCTTAAATATTTTGGAAAAAAATAAAGCTGCATGATTATTTAATGTGGTACGCGAGTCAAGACATAACAGTATTTCATGTGATAATTGAGTTCTTATTTTTTTTCATATTTTGTAAAATTTAAATAATGGTATTAGAAATTGCTTGTGCACATTATCTTTTTGATGCAATATTAAAATCGATATTATGTGCATAATACGAGTATATAAGATTAATTTTTACATTTGCATAATTTTTGTTATACATGCATTTTGTTATAATTTTAAGAAATTTATGTAAATGAGTGAAAATATTTTATTTCTAAATTTGTGAACATAACAATGTCGCTCGCTCTCATAACTTATTGCTTAAATATTTTGAATTTTAATATCTCTGTACTGGATTTATTCTCACGAAAGAGAAATATAATTTTAGTAATCTAAATTAAAAAATTGCAATGTCATCGCGTACAATTTTGAATATTACATTGATCATTGGATAAACGACGAAAAATATTGTTACTGATACGTAAATGAAATTATGTCATTTTTTTTAAATGAAGGAGATTTTCAATAAGAAAAATTTATACTCGTAATGTTGAAATTTTCTTTTGGTTTTAAAATTATTTTAAAAATAATGAAACTCGATAGCAAACTCATTGTCATTGTAAGATATTGAATAAAGAGAATAGACAATCGGAATAAATGTATGAGTAGCTATTGCTGTCAGGCTAATATCGTTGTTATGCTTGTAGTTTTAGCGATTTTATGCTTCTAACATGTTTTAAATTTGGAGTTTTGTTTAGCATTAAATGGAGTGCAAAAATATTGGCGCATTTATGCGAAAATTTCAAATGCAAACTATTTAATTTAATATTTTTTGGGCGGCTGGAAAGTGAAGGCCCTTTTAGATTCTGTGAGGAAGATAGAGAGACTTCAGCACATCTTCTGAGAGAGTGTCTTGCTCTCTGAAAGGGTTGAGTGTGTGTGCCCCGAATTTCCCTTCTCGATCGCCAAAGAAGAGACTTTATTCTAACGGCGGCGGATTTGTGCCTCTCCACGTCTCACAAGTTGCTCGAGTACATTAAGGCGGTAGATCTCGAGCGGGTGCTGTAGCGCCGTGTCCCGCACTCAGGAGGAGTGCACAATAGATCATTATACGTGGTCGTGGTGCACTGTTATCCTGGTTTTTTTACAAATCTACAAATCAAATCTAATATTTTTTAAAATTTTAATTCATTTATAGTAAAGCAATCAAGATATAATAATAAAATAATTATGTGCTTTAAATTAGGGTGAAATCACTAATATAAAAAATTACTAAAATAGTTTTTAATTATCTATAGTTTAAATAAATTATTTTTTTGGTCTATAATTAATAGATTAATTAAAAAAATTTAAATATATGCAATCCCTTATAGAAAATAAAAAAAATTTGCAATGTTTGTATAGCGACGGTCATTTTACAATAAAAATCAATGCATTTGAAAATATTTTTAAATTTTATTTATTCAAATAATTTGTATTTAAAAATTTGATTTTTAAGAAAAATTGCGTCCTTTATATAGCGATATCCGTATTTCACTTTTGTTAAGCACACATTTTAAAGACAGAGGTATTTTCATCGTGAATATTCTCTGATACCACAATTTCCATCACAAAATGTTAATACGCAATTTCGAAATGTAAATTCTTAAAATGAAATATTTACTCATATTTTTCAAGCATTTTCATAATGCATTCGTGTAGCGAACTAAATTTTGCAAATGAAATTTACACTATGGTCATAATATTCAATAATTAAAATGAGTTCAATTATGACATCATCTCGCTTTGAAAATTTCAGAATTGCAATACGTTTCTGAGATTTACGAACCAAAAACCTAATTCCCCAAAACACGAACTCTAAAATTTACCTTAAATTCTTACCTAAATACCTAAATTCTTTACCTAAATACCTCTTAATTTACCTAAATCTAATTATAAAATTATCCAAAAAAACAAAATTACACGAAAAATAATATTAAACTTATGTATCTCATTTAATATATAGACAAAATGGAAAAAATAATAAAAACTTTAAATAATAATTAAAAAAAAAAACATTTCCAAATAATTAAATTTAAATTAATGCAAATTAGCTTACTTTATCCCATTTAAATTACTTAACATTACATATGTAATTTTTGTAAAACACACATTTATTGAATATATCACACACCTAGCAAAAGATGGTCGCATTGTGGGATAAGAAAGATAAAAAGAAATAATAGAAATTATTTATTTGCAATTTGGATTCAGAGGAAAAAAAAATTTTATGTTAACAATTTTTCGAACTTTTAATTTGTTACTTTAAAGAATTCCAGTTCAAGATTTAATATTACAGCCACAAACCCACTATATATAGAAAAGCATTTTCAAAACTGATTTGTTCGATAAGATAACTTAGCTACTACAGAGTGCATCCAAGTTCACCTGCTCAAAAAGACCGGCAAATATTAATCCAAATGAGAAGAAGCTATTTAATTGTGAATATACTGTTAAATGTTTTAATTTCAAGATATATAACACCATAAAAGTTATTTTGTACTTCTAGACCCTGTAATGTAATTTATGTAAATTGTTCAACTTGGATATGAGAAGCTTAAAACAACATTTCCGATAGAAAACGTAATGATTTTGCTGCTTATAAACTTCTACTTTCATAAAATAATAATACCACAAATAAATAAGAAACAGCAATTGTCATAAGAAATGAGATTATCTTCTAAATTTCGACTTGCCTAAGTTTTGAAGTAAAAAATTCTGCTAATCATTAAATATTTTAACAAACAATTTTAATTCTAGGGGTGTACCTTTTGTAAAATGTAAAAATATTATGTAGGTTTACATTAGATTACGTTTATTAAATTAAAATATTCTTACATTTCTATTAAAGGTTAAAGATTAAGACAACAAACAACAAATGAAAACATTTTTAAGACAAAAAAAAACGTAACATTTGATTTCTTTCTTTTCTCTTCTCTCCTGTTTATTATTTTGACAGATCACCTTCATACATTTATGAATTCCTTATTAAAAAAAAGAATTACTTCTTAATAATGTAATAAATAATAAGAAATATATTTAGAATTACATAAGGATATATAGGGATAAATATGAATTTCTCCTAACCTACCAAAAATGTTCATAATATATATAAAAGTATGTGTGTATATACTATCTTTATATAGGATGTAAAAACGGACTTCTTTTATAATTTATAAAAAAAACTTATCTTTTGATCTTCTTTCGAACCTTACCATATTATATTTGAGAAGAACTCACTAGAGAGAATATGCTAATTTCTTGACATAGAAAATGAAAACTAAATAAAAACAAATATGTTAGTATGTATATATATGTGTATCAGTGAATAATTTAACATTATCATATTCTTTAAAATAATGAATATTATATAGGTCTTCTATTCTTCATCGTTCATAAAAATTTATAACACTATACTTTAACGCTTAAAAAAATGCCTGTATATCGAATATTACGGTATATAGTTGGAAGATTATTACGATTTACAGTCTGTTCCGGTAATATTTTTGGTATTGCATATAACACCTGTAAATTATGTAGAATAAGATGCCCTTTTGGAATCTAAACAATTTCTTATAATTATGAAAATAACTTTTAAGAGATTCTAGTAATGGGATGTTAAGAAAACACTACTGGGAATATTTATAAACAATTAGAATAGCAGACTTTTTATTGTAAACAGCAATTGAATTTGCGTTTCCAATTCTAACAAAGATCTGCAATAGCAGCACGTTTTTGTAATTTGCTTTAAAAAGCCTTCCGTTTCTGTTAGTAGAACTATAAAAGTTCTTCTATCAAATCGATTGCATAAGCTTTTGTTCTGCTTTTATATTCATAACCTCAATTAGTAGAGATCTCATTTTGGAGAGAGTAAAGAGACGTTATTGAGGTTACACCTCTTGTTCTTGTTAGTTACTGTTAAAATCTCTCGCTGCTAGAACTGCAAATGCGAATTCAACTATTGGCTAACTAAATGACTAACGTGCAAGACAATAAATTTTGAGGATCATTTAAATATTGCATTGAAAGTCTGATGTTATTTCGAATTAAATTATATTATTAAACTTTTTGGATGAGTTTACAGAAATTTGAAAAATTTCATAAGTAAATTATTTTTTCTCACTTATTTTTAGTTTTCTTTGTAGAGTATAGATAACATACATTATAGGTACACTTATTACATTTTGTAATTAATAATTGAAAATAAATTAAATAGCAAATTATCGAATTGCAACAGATTACAGCCTGTCTAACCTTATAGATAAATCCGACGCTAGTTATAGTTAATTAAATTTATTATTTTATTCCGATATGACATTAGTCAACCCTTTCCGATAAAATGATGACGGATAATAAATAATAGTTTTCTATTGTTACTAAAAGATCTCGTGCCCATTATGACTAATCTCTGTCTGTTACGAGTTAACGATATTAAAACGAAAAATGTTTAATATAATAAGAGTTTACTGTTCTCAAAATGTTATTTTGTCTACATTATTAAAATTAATATTATTATAGTTTTTAGTAAAAATTTACATTTATGTACTTATTTTATTGTAAAAAAGGAAAAATAATATTAAAATGAAAGTGATATTAAATTTTTCTTTAAATAAAAATGTTCCTGTTTTTTCTTGTTTTGTAGATTGAACTTATCAAAATAATAAGTTTTTTAAAAAATTGCCATCGGCAAAACTGCCTACAGTTAAGTTGAAAATAGAATTTAAATAGCAATTAACTTTCATTATTATATTCAAAGCAGAACGCAAGTAAAATTTGCATACGTATGTTAAAGACGCATATAGACTTATAAAGACATGAAATTTAGGCATAAAAAACCAATTTCTTTAGTAAAACGATTTTCTCCTGGAAACTTTAGGAAACAAAATGATTTTTTTTTTAAATTCATTAAAAATTTGAGAAGTTTTTGGTTTCCTTGTCTTGCATTTAATTTAATTTTTGGTTCCGTTTTTTTGGAAAATATTTTGGTAAGTCAAATATTAAATTTGGTGAAAAAAAACATTAAATTTTTAAAATTAAAAAATTGTGGGCCTTAAAATTTAATGTTCTTCATTAAAATTTTCATTTTGGATAAAATTATGAAAGAAACGGGCGAAAGAAATTCTTATATCAAAGTACCTGTGTAATGGTCACGTAATATATCTGATTTATAATATTCTTCCATAATTTTCAAATTTAACAAAGAAAATCGGTGCTCAAATTGGTATTTCATTTCAAGTCCACCGAAAATATTGAAATAGATTTGTAGCTTTTGTCAAAACTTGAGTTATGTATTGGCAATTGAATGTTGTAATTGAATTAAAACCAGTTTTGTTGCGTTTTCGGATTAAAATACAAATTAAATTTAAGCAATCCTTTATTCAAAATTTTACAATGAAACTGATATTAGCTGCAATTTATCAGTTTTAGCATAGCCTTTATTTTCACAGTTTTGCCAAAGAAATTCTTACTAATATTACCACATCTGTACAATAAATTACTTCAAATTAATATTTTTTTTTAAATTCAGAATTAAATTTAAATTTTTAAAAATTTTACACTTACCTTTTGAAAATCAGTTAATAAAACTCTTTACTTTCGAAGCACAAGTCTTCCCAAGTCTTAATTTTCTTAATTAAATTTTTTTTTTTTTGGAAAATAAAAAATTAATTTTTTTATTAATTATTTCTTAAAAAATTATAATTAATTTTAATTATAATTTATTTTTGTCAAAATAATAAACGAAATTCAGTTAAGACAACACTTTTGAATTATAACACTCTTTTGGGCCAAATAGCTTCTCTCTCTCTTTAATTTTTAATTAACTTTTTTTTAATTTTTTATTTACACTTTTCACCAATAATTACAATAATTTTATAATTATTTGTAATTAATCTTGCAATTAATTATATTAATTTTTATTTTTTTTTTATTTTAATAAATTTTTTTAGTCCAATATTCGGTATATTAATTTTGTTGCTTAAAAAACAAAAATTTCTTCTTGAAATTTTATTCTTCAGCTATACTTTCTAGCCAGAGGATTGTTATCGTTTAATGTTATTTCCGTTTGTTACTTTCATTTATATTCTAACTTTTCAACTCCTTTTACCAGTTGAAATTGTCAACAACAACAAAACCAAAAAAAAAAAGAGAAAATAAAACACAAGATATCAAAGGAAGAATACAACACAAAAAAAAATAAAAACAAACAAAATAAACAAATGAAAAGCAAAAATAACAGTACACACAGTAAATTGCAAATATGTAACTTAAATACCTACAAAAAAAATATCAGAAAAAATAATAAACAAAATCAAAAATACATACAGTTAAATTACTATCAACAACCAGTTGAATATTCACCATACATTTTGTTCTATATTCACCACACTTTTATTTTTCGTACAAATACATACTTAATATACATACTAAGCATTTATAGCTTAGAAATGTAAAAATTTGAAAAATGTTACATGTTAAGGTGAACTTAATAATTCTTATAACAGGAGCATGCACAGGATTAAAATTAAATTTCAATGTACGAGAAACAAATTTATTGAGTAAAACTAAAACATTTTAATAATAACTAGTAGTCACATAATAATTTTAAATTTTAATAATTATAAAATGTCAAATTCTTAAATAATATTTTGTTTTTTGAGTAGTTTACTTAATAAATAAATTTATTTTTTATAAAAAAATATTTAAAGGGAACATTAAAATTTAAATTTAGAGCTAAAATGACACTCAATTGTTTGGTCATAAAAGCAAAACTTTTGTTTTCGCTCTTAAAATATAATATATATGTACTTTTTACAAAACATTATAGTCTGTCAACCCTAAATATTTTCTATAACATCATATGACATTAAAAAAAATATAACATTTTTCACCACTTACTTCGTTTTATTCAAAATTATTTATGTGGGTATTTTAGATCATCGTGTTTTCAATATTTGAAGTTCGTTTATTCTTCGGGTTTTCAGTTAATATAACGGTAAATATAAATTTGAAAGTTATTACAGAACATGCGTAGAATAAAAAATCTTCATTATTTGTTAATCATAACTAAAACAAAAGAAAAGTAAAATGAAAACAATAAATAACCATCCTCTTTAATGAATTCACCAAAACAATGACGTCACTTCGTTCTTTATAGTTGAAATCAAAATCATCATAGTGAGTGTATGAACAATACGTAGACGTAAATAAATTTTTTAATTTACTTGTTGATATTTTGGTAATTCATTCAAAATAACAGTACCTATATATTTTAGATATTAATCTCTTTAAAATTTTTTATTAAATATTTACGTGTGTGAATTTACATTTGTCTGTGTAGGTATTAGTTTATTTATTAATTATTGTAATTTTTTATATATAGAATTCGTTTAAATTATAAATTTAAAACAAAAAAAATTAATTCTAAAGTTTTCTATTAAAAAATTAAACCAAACTTTTCTGAATTTTTATTGCAGATTTTCTGTACAAAATATACTCATATTATGATTCGACAATGATTGACATTTTGCAAAAGACAATGAACCGCACGAAAGATTGCAAAATAATCAATTAAAGTACATGTAAAAATGGATGCCACTTTAAAATTTAACTTTTAAGTGTTGACCGTCAAAACAAAAATATTAATAAAACCCTTGCATATCTTTTGTGCAGATACAAATCTATCAAAAATTTGATTGTCACAACAACACCTAATGCATAACTTTTGCGATTGACTTAAACCAATGCTGCAAGAATCTTTGAATTTCTATATTAATTTCGAAAAATTGAAAAAATTTTCATTGAAATGAAATGCGATTACAAGATAATTCTAATTTTGAACAACTTGCATTTTACATGAAATAAAAAGTTTTAACCAATTTAATTTTGCATATCATCAGGCTGTGAGATTTTAATATTTGCAAAAATTATTTTACTTTTAAAAAAAATATTTAACTTTTTCTCCGTTTTTTTTTAACAAAGCTACGCATATTTGCAGTACATTTACGTAAATAGATACATGATAATTTGACAATTGGTATAATTAAAACTTTTTATTAAAAATTTTCTCAGAGTGTATATGCAATGACGCACTTCTTTATCATTTAATGTGCTTCTACTTTTCATATTGCTCTTTGAATTTATTGCCTCTTTTATTCTTCTCAACATTCATATTTATTTCTTATTACACACTTAATTTCACATCTTCTTTCTAATAGTAATAAAGTTACGAAAGTAAAATTAGCATAATATTCTTCTCTTAATTTTTACAATTTATAATAAAAGTAAGAATCACTAAGTGTTTTCTAAAATAAAAATTCATATATAAAAATGGAAAATTAAAATATTAAAGTGAAACTAATTTGACGCCTTAATTAGATTGAAGTTTGTTGTCACTTGCCAGATCTGATTTGTTAACGTTGACTTTCAAAAACTATTTTGAGATGGCACTAAATATTTTCAAGTAAGAAAAATTTCCAGAAAATAAACATGATTTTTCGTCAAAAATCTAAAATTGAAAAGGATGTAAATATTTTTAGTTTTCAGTGGTATTTTTAAAAATAAAATACGCCTAAAATTTTCAAGAGATTAAAACGCCTTAGATTGTTTCTTTTATTAAATTCTTAAAATTAATTTAAAAATCTTTAATAATTAAAATTTCTTAAATATATTACAACTAAAAATAGAAGGGAGAAACGAAACTAAAGCCAAATTAATAAAAATGCTCACAAATTAACAATTTCGTCATATTTGATAGACGTTTGGTTCTAAATAAAAAATCTCTACCATGATACAACATAGTCAAACATTATGGCCGCAAAATAACAAAATGGCAGCAATAACAAAATGGCCCAGTAAAACTTACCGTTATCTTAAATTTTTGATATTGGTTTTCTCTAAACAGAAAGTTATACAGGTGTGATATTTAAACAGCTTTTAGACATCAATAAATAATTCATTTCGTTAGAAATTTTTTTGCACGTCCACTCTATCAAAAGTTGTCGCCATTCGAAATTTGTAAAATTTGAATTTCCACTGCATTATATTTCTGAAACTTTCGCAAATTTCTATAAAAGCAACAAGTTAACGGTATCAATTATTTGTAATTCGACTATTTTGTTAACGCTTTTGTCAATTCTTTTTCACTCACCCTAAAAGTATGCAAAATTTTGATATTCCTTGGTTTAAAATTAATTAAGATAATGAGTAGCTTGCACATTGTTTTTAAAAGCACTATTTTCATCAGTTCAAGAGAAAAGTGTTTCTTTACAAACCGTTGGTTTGATCCGAATTTGTTTAGCTGAATTTGAACTTAAAATTCTCTATGAATTCTATGTGCATACGTTAAACTAATGTAAATAAAACACCTTGAATATTAGAGATTTTCTAAAATCATTTAAATGGGGTCCGCACTTTACAAATCAATTCAAAAGTAAAATTTCTGTTTATTTATAAATTTCTATATATTTATAATGATCTTCTTTTCATTATTTCTTTTCAAATGCATGTCTTCTTAAATTTACTCCTTAAAATTTGGAAAAAATTAGAAAAATGGTTGCAATTTGTCAATGCAACGCAAACATGGTACAAATATTTTCAATTCTTATTATGTCTTTTATGTAACTAAAGTGGGTGAGATTTTTCATAAGAAAACTATTTCTATACCCATTTAGTAATTGTATTTAGAGGAGTAGAAAATTATGGAAAATATTTTTCATAAAAATTCAAGGTCAACTAATTAAAACGTTACAGTGTTTTTCCGTCTACTATACGGATGTATATGCACATACATACGATATTGTAATTTTAAATCTGTGATGACAGAATGAAAAACAGATCAATCAAAAAAATTTTTACTCCCATCTCATTTTCATTGAAAATGTCAGGTATGAAAATGTTTGTCCATTAATTTTAATTAAAATCAAACAATTTAAAATAATTGCTAGTTTTAAAAGCACATTAATATGAACTTGTAATGTAGACGAATGTATATTGTATAACAAATTAAAAATATTAAAATTTTTTTTAAGCAAAACTGTTTTCTCCACATTTTTTACTTGACAAGACATTTAATTTAAAAAATAAAATTATAACAATTTTTTATGTAGCAAAAATTCACTCTATTTACAGTCATAACAGCATACACGCTCTTACTGTCGTTATTTTCCACTAAATGTCTTAAATAATACACACGTCTTAATACTCGTAGTAGAAGTGCTGGGTCTCTTATAAAAATGAAAGCAACTGAGTTTTGTGATTTTGTTCTAACTTTCGGAATCAATTGATTTCCTGTTTTGAATTTAAGAAAGAAGTGGGCACAATTGAGATATTGTATTTTCAATTGGGTAAATTGAGATATGCAATTAACAGAGACAAACTCCATACAGACTCTCTATACTTAAATATTAACATTCTTTTTAAAGAAGACATGTAATTATTTGTGATTCAAACTGTTAACTTATCAATTCATTGTAGGTTTTAATATGTTGGAACAAACACTTAAAACTTCAATTTAAATTTTAAATTATATTAAAAATTATTTAATTTTAATTTGTATAAGTATTTCCAGGTCCCCCTTCTTTATATTAAAATTTTGATATCTATATTATGATATAATCTAAAATTCAACAATATTACGTCAATTAACGCTTATGCTAATGCCAAAATTATGACTGAGTTATGCAGCCAAAAAAACATTCATTGCTGTATATGAAGACAGTAACAACGATGACATTTCTTACTCTACAATATTGTGATTCTTCTACAATATTCTCTTCAACATTATTTTACAACTACTCATAGCTACAACATTGTTTCTTTTGCAAAGAATTTAAAGTAAGAAGATGCTTCATAACACTTTAAAATAATTTAAATACGTATACTGAGTGTGTAGATATACTAAGTCCCATAATCTCATATGCTTTATCATTAGAATTTTTACCAACTTTGTCATCGTAAACTTCTATATTTCTTCTTAAAGTATCTTATATGCACAACATTTTTCATATACAAAAGTATATCATACAAGCTTATTATGTAACACATA